CATGCAGATCCATGGGGTGTGGCCTGAGCAGTCAGGCTGCCACGGAAGTGGGAGATGATTTCACCCTCCTTTGCCGGACTCTGTATTTCACTGCGTTGCTTAAACATTACTGGGTGAAGGAGTCGGGGTGCATGTGTGTGGGGGGGTTTGGGGGGGCAGAAATTTGGAGCCACTTCTTACATTAGCAGAAGGCCTTGAGGAGGAGCATAGTCTGCCCAGCAGTCTTTCCCTGGCCTCTGCCTGGTTCTGGAAAGCAGCAGCTCCTGCCTTTCTGTTTGTGTTTGTCTCTGCCGTTCTTTAAGGCGTCAGGGGAGGAGGGGCTGAGTCTTGGGCTTCCCCTGCCCTCCCCAGGAGTCAGGGACTGGCCATCACCCTCCACCCCCCTGGACTGAGCTCTGAAGTGGCCCCGCTTTGTCTGAGGGAGCGCAGGGCCCTCCCTAAGATAAACTATGTAAACCGTGTTCTCATTCTCAAAACCGAAGTCTCTTTCCCCCTTTTTCTTCCTTAACTATAATTTAATTCTTTGCTCCTGGGCTCATCATACACCATCTACAAATTATTCTGAGCCAAGTTTCAGTAATGAGATAAGCATCTCACTTTCGAGGTCTCACCTGTCAGCATCTTACATCATAAAAATAGGTTCTTGTCCCTTTGCAGAGGCTGCTGTTCAATCATATTGGAGACGGGGCCCTGCCACGCAGCGACCCAAATCTTTCTGCGCCTGAGAAAGGTACGTGACGCCAGCTCCGTCCTCCGTCCTGGAGCGTTTCAGGGTCTGTTTTGTCCTCATATCCTCCAGTCTTCCGTGTGTCTGTGTGGAAGGCTCCAGACCTTTAAGGATCGGGACTAACTTGCCCTTCAGAGGATGAAGGAAGGATAGCCATGCATGATGCATTCTTGAAAAACTTTCTTGCACCTGAGCACAGTCGGAACTCCTCTGTTAAATGGCGTCGGGTGTCATCCAGTGAGTCACCGAGGCCATTCTGAGGCTGTCATTCAGGATGGTGAAAACAGCATCTTCCCAGATGAGTCCCTGTTCCCAGCCTTGGTCTCCCTTATGGAGCTCACTCTGCCAGCTCGTCTGCTGTTTGTGGTGACTCAGGCACTATTAAGAATTGCAATCCAGTGCATCATGGAGTGTGCCCTGCCTCAAGGTGACACAAAAAATAAGAAACAAACGCATGCACTGCAGTTAATAGGCGATTGACATCAGCCATGCAGCACAGCGGGTTACATGAGACTTCCGCTGGGGGTGGGGCTTGTAGCAAGCCGCCCACTCGTCTCAAAAATCCCAGCGGCCCCACATGCCAGCGAGTCCGGAGTCACTAATGAAATGTCCCCATAAAGTGCACTTCCATTGTCCTCAATAAGAACGAGACTGTATTGTCACGTGAGTACACTGACACATCAACTTTAAAACTGTCCTCGACAGGTCAACCCAGTGAGATCATAGCCAAAATTCTTTTAAGACCCAAATTTTGCTTTAATGTTACAAGTCCAATATTTATCTCTGTCTGGAGGATTTAGGAATGTGATATTTTTTCTTGTCCTTTCTACCAAAGAACACCACAAAGCAAATTTAAAAGGAACAGAGAAAAAGTGTCTTAAGACTGATAATTCCATCCCATTAACCGAGCTCCCTACTATAAATAGTGAAACGTTGCAATCCTAGACGT